ATATGAGTCAAACATTTACCTGAGGTAGATATACTCCTTGAAGAGAACAGTCATGGGAGAAAGAAAGGCTGTTTATGCACAGGGAGACATCTCAGGGGGCAGGAGTGCATGGAGGGGGGACACAGGAAAGAGGTAACTATTGGGGGGAAGTGGGAGGGGAGCTGTTGCATTGTGGTCAATTGTGGTCAATGTCATGAGACAAAGTATATGTGAATTGCTGTATAGAAAGTGAATTTGCTCTGTAAATTTTCACCCAAATCACAATAAAAAAATTTTAAATAAATAAATATAAATAAAATATAATATCCCATTTTTTAAGCTTATCACTACATATGCATATTTTAAGAGCATAAAGTGTCCACAGTACACCTTCCTCAACCACGTGCCACAAGTGACAGATAAACTCACTTTATGCAAGTGAGATGGAGAGTGTGTTTTCCACTCCATGAGAAAAATGGCAAGCACCTACATGGTACTTTGTACATGCCATACATTATTCCAAGCATTTAACCAATTTGTCCTTATAATAGTCTCCATTGAAATACAAAACCAAAAACCAAATTCACTGCTATTGAGTTGGATCTGACTCATAGCAATCTCTCCTTGGGTTTCTGAGGCAGTATTACTACAGAAATAGATTGCCCAATCTTCCTTCTGAGGAGTGGCTGGTGGATTTGAACAGCCAGCCTTCTGCTTAGCAGTCAAATGCCTTAGGCACTAAGCCACCAGAGCTCCTCCCACTGGGAAAGGTATCATTATTTATGCTATTTTATAAATGAGGTACAGAGGCCCATGAAAGTGAAGAAATTTGTGTGACATCGCACAATATGTGCATTTTGAATTCATGTGCTCACTATTTCTGATTGACTCCATCCACACCAACAACAACCTCAAGGTTTTGTGATTTTTCTGATTAGATTCAAATCTTTGCTACTCATATTTTGCCTTATTTTGAGGTCTATCCCAAATTCCATTTCTATATCAAACCTTTTGTTCAGCACATTTCTCATACTAACACAGAATGAGATACCTTATGAGTTGTTTAAACCTTTCCTCCTTTGACATTACCCTCCCCCACACCGTTGTACTATTTCAGAGTACAGGGATTCACCTTATTCAAATCTGTGAATTGGATGTCCAGCAAAATGTTTCATACTTCATAGATATCAATAAATATATCCCACAAAAGTCAAAATACACTCTTTGTAAATGAACTTTCTTTCTAATCTTAGGATGTTTTGTTATGTTGTGTATGTAGGGAACTCTGGTAGCGTAGTGACTAAGGCACTTGACTGCTAACCAGAAGGCTGGCAGTTTAAGCCCACCAGCCACTCCTCGGAAGGAAGATGGGGCAATCTACTTCTGTAGTGATGCTGCCTTGGAAACCTAAGGAGGGGTCGCTAGGTACTTGGGATTAGTTTTACTCACATATAAAAGGAAAACATAAAAGACTTACTCATTTAATCATACAAATTCACACATTCAACAACTATTTGGTGAACCTTAACTATGCTTAGGATTTTTCATTTGCTGGAAATTTTAAACAATGAACCAATAAACTATCTTAATATTTATAGAAGATAATTTGATAGTCCTAGAAGAAAGATGAGGTAGTCTGCATCCATAAGGATTTACAGCTTTGGCAATCCAATGAGGGTCACTATGAGGCTGAATTTATTTATAATAATAATAAAAAAAAATCCTTAAACAAGTAAAAATATTTTTAATTTCATGAAAAATATATACAAAAAAAAAAAGAGCTTATGTCATACTCAATTAAGATAGTTTAAACTCAGTCTTTCCAACATCAAGTGCAAAACAAATATATTCACTATCACTACGTAATATTACTAGTGTTAGCCAAGGTAAAAGAAGGTAAAAAAAATACACGGGTGTCATACCATTAGAAATATGAGAGATACAACTGTCACTAATTTCTAATGATATGTGATCTATAAATTCCACTAACAAGACGGACGGTTGAAATTAAAAAGAGGGACAACAGAGTAGCTGGATATCACATCAATTTAGAACAAGCAGTAACGTTATTCTCCGTTGGCACTGATCTAGTAGAAGAGATAATAGAAAAAAATATCACTTCCATAATAGCAACAAAATGCATAACAAACATAAAAATTAAGTACTAAACATTTTTAAAGGTAAATGTATTTATTTATCTTTTAAATTTTTAAAGCCTTTTAAGAAACACACAGGAAGACTTGAACCAATATAGAAATCAAGAAACAAACCAAACTCACTTCCATTGAGTTGATTCCCACTCACAGCAACCTACATTGAGTTTCCGATGCAGTAAGTCTGACGAAGTAGATTGCCATCTTCCTGCTGCAGAGCAGCTGGTGGGTTTAGAATTGCTAGCCTTCTGGAGCTCTGGTAGAATAGTGCCTAAGGCACTTGACTGCTAACCAGAAGGCTGGCAGTTCAAACCCATCAGCCAGTCCTCAGAAGGAAGGTTGTGCAATCTACTTCCGTAGTGATACTGCCTTGGCAACCAAAAGAGGGGTCACTATGAGTCGGGTCGGACTCAACAGCACATAATAACAACAACGACAGCCTTCTGGTTAGCAGTCAAATGCCTTAGGCACTACGCCGTTAGAGCTCCTTGATAAAGAAATAGTATGATAGTTCTTTGAGCTCTTATTGTTTCAAGCACTGAAATTTGTATCTCTCCAAAATATTCATATTTGTAGCAATATCAAATAACAAGTGCATGTAGAGACCACAATGATCTCCATTATGTAGATGAAAAAGCATAGTAATTTAAACACATGTTCAATGTCACTTAATTAGGAAGTAGACTAATTTTAATCAATCTGTTCTAGAGGGCTTGCTCTTAACTTCCATGACATAGTGGCTTTCTGCATATGTTCATGGATAAGATTATAACACACACACACACGTGTGTGTATGTCAAATTCCCACAAATTGCAGTTAATTCATAAATTCATGTAAAAAACAATCTCAATTTCAACTTTCTATAGGATTTAATTGGAATAGAAATGATTTACAAGTAGCCTAGTCAATATTGAAAATGTGGACAGAAATTTATATAGTTATCAATAGCAGATAAATAGATAAATATAGAGAGAAATACAGATGTAGATCCATACAAACCCACATTAGTAAACAAGACATAGTAATAGGAGAGGAGCAGACAATTAGAGAGCTTCAACATACAAACATGGAAACATGATAAACAGTAGAAGATGTTCCACAGAAGAGTTGATCAAGTACTAAATGATGTCTGGAAAAACTGGCTCAATATGCAGAGAAAAATCAAGTTATATCCCTACCTCATACCACCTAAAAAATAGAAATCTTATTCTACTAAAACCTAATTTTGAAACCTAAATATATAAACCTAATATGAGAACAACTGGAAGAATACCATTTTATTAGAGTGTCAAGCAATGCCATACATAAGACTCACAAATTACTTTTAAATGATGGGACCACTCACATTAAAATTTAGGATTTTTGCTAAAATAAACACTTTCTAAATATTCATAGTTTCTTTTCTTCTGCCATATATATAACTATAGATATGGATACAGATAGATAAATATATTATATGACAGAAAAAGAGAAACTATGAAATGAGGTTGTAAGGAGCGTTAAGCAAGTATACAGAAAAATAGGAAATGCGTAGTGTTATGAAATAAGAAATGAGAGGATTTCAAGACATCAGGAAAAATTAATTACATTCATATTCATGAGAGGTAGTGTTAGATGAGATTAGAGAATGATCTATTTGATTTGTTTACATAGCACTGAAGAAATTGTCATAAGCAATTTCAGGTCATATTTAGGATAAAAGAAAGACAAACTATAGGGAGAGTCATTTTGGACTGAGAATGTGACTGTTGACAATTAATTATAGATGTTTTGCTGTTAAAGTAAGTAGATAAATGGATGACACATGGAAAGTAATTATATTTTGAGGGACGGGTGGTGGTTTTAGTGGGATTTTAAAATGAAAGAGAGAGTAGAAACAACCTGAAATAATTAAATGTCAATGAGTACACATTAACTGTGTAATCATTGTACACGAGGAAGAATTGTATAATTTCACTAGTTGGACAGAGAAAGATTAAAGTAAAAAATTGTATTTGCTCTAACCCTATTTAATTGATATGATTTCCATGATATTACTACATTACCATTCTCATCAGGCTCCCCTTATTATTAGGTTTTAAGAATCTTTAAAATTAAAGAGAATGTAGAGTTAATTCCTTGAATTTCCTCCTCAAATGGAAAGAAGACAAGATAAGTATTTTTTGCCCTCCTTTCTTTGTGTTCATAAAACAATATTTATTATTACATTTGGTTAGGAGATCTCTCTCTCCAATCAGTGTGTTTTTTGACAATCTTGAAAGGAACTGCACATCCTACTAAATTGTAGGGAAGCATTTTTATTTGGGTCAGACTATGAGAGACATTGTCAGCTAACAAACTCATTTCCGTATTAGCAACCCAAAGGCTGAAACTTTCTTAAACTAAGGATCTCAAGGGATATTTTCTAGCTTCTCCTTCAGGAACACATTATTTAAAAAGGAGAGGAATTTTGGTAATTATGAGGAAAATATTGTACATATTTTACAGAGAAAAATAACAACTGCCTTTTAATCTTGAAATTCCAATTACTATTTTATTTTTGTTGCTGTTTTTGAGAATATATACAGCAAAACATACACCAATTCAACAGTTTCTACATGTGCCATGACGCTGATTACATTCTTCAAGTTGTGTACTGAAAACTTAGAGGATAGTGAGTTTCTGTTAATAAGAGAGGAACAACTCAGAAAATGAAGACATTTAAGGGTAATGCCCCACTAAACACCTTCCATTGTCATGATCAGACAGATTTCTTGGAAAGTCATCATTGGCTCCTGGATAAACAGCAGACATAGGCATTGCTTTCATTCTATTTTATTCCCTTCCCTTCTTGTCCTTTCTCTTCCCTTCCCTGAAAAGTGTTCCTTTTACGTGCTGAGGGATTTGGTGTCCTTAGAACCTGAAAAAATCTGTAGAACACAGTCTCGTATCTGCTTGGTTTTCACTCCATAGACAATAGGGTTCATAGTGGGAGGCAGGAGCAGATAGAGATTGGCTACAATGATGTGGCAAGATGGAGGGATTGTATGGCTTCCAAAACGATTAAAAAAGAAACAGAAGAAAGCTGGACTGTAGGAAAAAACAATAGCACTGATATGGGCAGTGCAGGTGCTAAAGGCCTTCTGCCGAGCATCTGCAGATGAGAGGCTGACCACTGCCCGGAGGATCATGGTATAGGAGATTGTGATGCACAAGATATCAAATCCTCCAATCAAGAAAGCAGCCATGAGGCCATAAACAATGTTGACCTTGATATTTCCACAGGATAACTTGGCTACTGACAGCTGGTCACAGTAGGTATGATGTATTATGTTGCCTCTACAATAGGGCAGGTGGCTGGTGATGAAAATCAAGGGAATAATGAGAAATACTGCTCTTAGAAAAGTGGCAAGCCCAGCCTTTGCAATGACAGGATTGGTGAGGATACTTGAGTAGCGCAAGGGGTAGCAAATAGCCACATAGCGGTCCAGGGCCATAAGCATGAGCACCCCAGACTCCATTCCTGTGAAGGTGTGGATGAAGAACATCTGTACCAGGCATTCATTAAAGCTGATTTCCTGAAGATGGAACCAGAAGATGCAGAGTGCTTTAGGGATTGTACTAGTGCACATGACAATATCAGTTAGCGAAAGCATAGCCAGAAAATAGTACATGGACCTGTGCAAAGAGTCCTCATAGTGGATGAGGTAAAGGAGTCCACAATTGCCTACCATAGCCACAACATACATAGAACAGAATGGAAAGGAAATCCAGATGTGCATGTCCTCCAGTCCTGGGATCCCTTTAAGAATGAATGAGGCTGGGATCACATCCGTTTGGTTCAGCGTTAGCATGCTAAAGATGGTATGATCATAGTGTTAACATGATCAAGATAATATGATCATTAAGTAGCTTCTCAGTTTTTGTTTTTGTTTTCTTAATGCTCTGGTAGTGTAGTGCCTAAGGCATTTGACTGCTAACCAGAAGGCTGGCGGTTCAAATCCACCAGCTACTCCTCAGAAGGAAGGTTGGACAATCTACTTCCTTAGTGATACCGCCTCAGAAACCCAAGGAGAGGTTGCTATGAGTCAGATTCAACTTGACGACAATGAGTTTTTAGAGTTTTAATCCTCCTAGATTAGGAAGAGAAGAGAATCTCAGTCATGGTCCCTCTCTCTTCCTGTCTCTCTATTAAATGGTACATTTTAATATCAAAATGGTACATTTTAATATCAAAACAAACATTATTAAAAACATTTCAGGGAATATTTACTTAAACATAGTTTGAACAAAGTACCTGTTGTTTTTTTAATTCATTAATTTATCAATTTATTCCACAAATACATATTTTGCACTTACTATGTCACAGATAGGACTATTGTTGGTAAAGTGGGGAAAGCATTTGGATGCTAGCTAGAAGGTCAGCAGTTCAAATTCACCAGCTGCTCCATGGGAGGAAGATGAGGCAATCAACTTCTGTAAAGATTTACAGCCTTGGAAAACTAGTGGGGCTCACAATGAATTGGAATCAACTCAATGGCAATGGGTTTATGTCACAGATAAGGAGCCCTGGTGACACAACATTAAGCTGTAGGCTACTAATCCAAAGGTTCAAACCCAACCAGCAGCTCCTTGGGAAAAAATGACTTGAAGATCATCTGCTTTCATAAAGATTTCTAAAAAAAAATAAATAAAACCCACTGCCATGGAGCCAATTCCAACTATTAGTGACCCTATAGAACAGAGCAGAATTGCCTCAGTTTCCAAAGCAGTAAAGTTTTATAGAAGCAGATTACCCCATTTTTCTTCTGTAGAGGGGCTGGTGGGAAACCACCAACCTTTCAGTTTGCAGCTGAACACGTAACTACTGCTCTACCAGGACTCTTTGATGTAAAAATTACAGCCTAGAAACCCTATGGGCAGTTCTACTCACTTGGGATGGCTATGAGTTGAAATCAACTTGATAGCACCCTGTAGCAATAACAATATCACAAGTGCAATCACAGATATTGGGTCTACATTATGTTAAAACAAAAATCATAATTCAATCTTCATAGTTTTGTAATTATATCATGGTTTTTCTGATGTTCTGATGGTGTCATATACATGTAAAAGCTGAACAATGAATAAGAAAGACTGAAGAAGAGTTGATGCATTTGAATTATGGCATTGGGGAAGAATATTGAATGTACTATGAACTGCCAGAAGAATTAACAGATTTGTCTTGGAAGAACAGCAAGAATTCTCCTTGGCTGCAAAGATGGTGAGACTTCATCTCACATATTTTGGACATGTTGTTGTTGTTGTTGTTATGTGCCGTTGAGTCGGACCCAACTCATAGTGACCCTTCCTTGGGTTTCTGAGGCAGTATCACTACGGAAGTAGATTGCCACATCTTCCTTCCGAGGAGTGGCTGGTGGGTTTGAACCGCCAGCCTTCTGGTCAGCAGTCAAGTGCTTTAGGCACTATGCTAGGAATCAATCCCTGGAGAAAGATATCCTCCTTGGTGTGGTAGTTAACATTATGTGTCAACTTGGCTGGGCCTGTTTTTGAGTGGCAGCTGGGTGAGTTATTCCCCATGATGAGACTGGTAATCAAGTCCATGGTGAAATCTACTGTGAGCAGCTGAGTAGTTGCCTTAGGGATATGGTCTGCTTCCTGTATATAAGAAGAAGCATTGCGAAAGGTCTCTGTAGATTTTTTACATGCTTGGACCCTTTATTCAGCAGCCTGCCATGTTCTTTTCAGATCCTAGGACTATTTCTGGACTTGAATTAGTGGCCCACTGTGCTGCTTAATAATCTTGAGACTGTGCCATTTTACTTGTTGACCTTGGATATGCCAGCATAAGCAGCCAGCAGCTGCCTGAGTTAAGAGATGCCTTCAGCTCCAGGATCCAGGAACAAGAAGCAGAGCTGAAGCCCAAAGTTGAAGGACCTTCATCCAGCCCCTAGAACTGGCACTTTGAACTCAGACTTCTAGCCTCCAAAACTATAAGACAATAAATCCCTATTTGTTAAAGGCGCCCATTTGTGGTACATCTGTTAGAGAGGCACTAGAGAGCCAAAGCAGTTGGTGAAATAGAGGGCTAGTGAGAAAGAGGGAGATCCTCAACAAAATGGATTGACACCATGGTTGCAACAATGAGTTCAAACATAGCAGACATCATGAGGATGACACAGAACCAGGCAGTGCTTCATTCTATTGTCTATAGAGTCACTAGGTATTGTGACCAACTCAACAGCACCTAAAGACAACAACTTTTTATAGATATAGCTAATTTATTACTAAAACTGGCTTTATTATTAAATAATAATTTTAGATTCCAACTCAATATATTTGCAAAATTCTCAGAATTGCAAATTTTTACTAAAATGATATAGCATTAACCACAGATTAAATTAGATTTTTTTTTCCTGAAACAACTTTGAAATGATTTCAATACATTATAATTTACTTTCACCAGCAAGAAAAATTGATCAATATTATGTTATAATGTAGGCAAAGATAATGGAATAGTAATATCAACACACAAATATCACCATTAATAAAGTTCAACTTTATGTCATATGTTGTCTATCCTTATCCTCAAATTCCATAGGCAATAAATTGTTTCCTCATTGGACTTCTAAATCTTTAAGATCCATATTCTTCTCTCCATATGACAGTGGATTACTCCAAATAGGCGTTGTTATCTAAAATTGATAAAATGCAATCATAATTAAGTTTTTCTAGAAATTAATCGAGAAAAATCATATCCTATTTTGAAGAACAGGTGGAGGGCAGGTAAGCTGCAAGAGTAATCTGACCATTGGTCTCATGATAAAGAACTATTCCCTAGCTATTTTTGTATTTCCATGTCATGGAGTTGACTCACACCTGACTTCCACCGCTATGCAACTAATGATTCCTTTTGGTTAGGAAAATAACAAATATTCCTAATCATCATGATAAGTTATATCCATTATAGTCTGAGAGTTAGAGAAATAAACATTTTCCAAGAAAGCCCCACCTCACAGTATACTTCTATCTTCAAGCTGAGTGGATGAAACCAAATCTATGTTATTGAGAGTATCATAAGCAATTCACATACATTCAGAGCCTCTCTTCACTCTATATTACAACTACAAAAATAAAAATCTTTTCCCTAACGCTCTTTTGTATGTTCTTTAATACCTGAGTTTCTGGATAGCAAAATGGTGAGCTGAGTGCAATATGGTCCACTGTTCGGGGCCTTGTTCAAAAAACATCACAATTTTAGGATGAATGCACATGCACAATCATCAAACTCTAATTTCTTTGATCTCTGTACTATTGACCTGGACATTTAAAGAGAAATGTTTGTTATATATCCCACAGGACATTGCAGAGCACAGCAGCTGGTGTGGGAATCAAGTTAACCTCTATGGAAAAGAGTGAGAGCTTTCCATTTTTACTGTCCAGAAGGTAATATAAAAATAACCAAATGACTAATTTCTTACATATGTATACTCCTGTGTGTGCGTATGTGTGTATGTGTGTGTGTACAGACACTGCACCCAAGAGGCAGGAAGAGTGGGAGGGAAGCCAGGGATGATAGAGTCACAGGCAGGATCCAGGAAAGGATCCAGGTTTTCCTTGAGGAAATTTATAGTTTTAGTTTTCATCATGAAGTCTTTGATCCATCTGAAATTTTTGTGTGTGGTTTGAGGTACAGATCTGCAAATGGATATCCAGTTTTGCCAGCATCATTTGTTAAACAGACAATCTCTTCCCTATTTAATGGATTTCAAACCTTTTTCAAAGATCGGCTGAACATAGATCAATGGATCTTTTTCTGGGTTCTCAATTCTATTCCACTGGTCTATGTGTCTGTCGTTGTACCAATACCAGATAGCTTTGACTACTGTGGCTGCATAGTAGGTTTTAAGATCCAGGAATGTGAGACCGCCTACATTGTTCATCTTCTTCAATAATGTTTTGCCTATCTGAGGTCTCTTTTCTTTCCATATAAAGTTAATGATTGGTTTTTCCATATCCTTAAAGAATGTTGATGGGATCTGGATTGGCATTACATTGAATATAAAGATTGCTTTGTTAGAATTGACATTTTCACAATGTTCAATCTTCTTATTCACAAGCATGGTATGTTCTTCCATTATCTCTTGAAGTAGTGTTTTATAGTTTTCTTTGTATAGGTCTTTTGTGTCCCTGGTAAGATTTATTCCCAAACATTTTATTTTTTTGGTAGCTATTGTAAATGTCATTGATTTCTTTATTTCTTTTCAGCAATTCCTATGTTGGTGTAGAGGAATCCAACTGATTTTTGGATGTTGATCTTGTATCCTGCCACGATGCTAAATCTCTCAATTAGTTCCAGTAGATTTTTTTACTGAGTCTCTTGGGTTTTCTAGGTATAGGATCATATCATCAGCAAATTAGGATAATTTGACTTCTTCTTTACCCATTTGAATGCCTTTTATTTCCCTTTCTTGCCTTATTGCCCTGGCTAGGACTTCCAATACAATGTTGACCAGAAGTGGTGATAGCGGGCATCCTTGTCTGGTTCCTGTTCACAAGGGGAATTGTTTCAGTCTCTCTCCATTGAGAATAATGTTGACTGTTGGCTTTGCATAGATGCCTTTTATTGTGTTAAGAAATGTCCCTTCTATTCCTATTTTGCTGAGCATTTTCATCAGGAATGGGTGTTGGGTTCCCAGGGTGGTATCTCTACAGAAGTAGATTGCCCAACCTTCCTTCCAAGGAGTGGCGGGTGTGTTGGAATCACCAGCCTTCTGGTTAGCAGTCAGATGCCTTAGGCACTACTCCAACAGTACACATAGGTTATTCCTTTCAATGGTATCCCACATGAATC